GAGGCCCATGTGTATTCATTGTTCTCATTGAGATAAGGGAATCAAGTAATTTATCTTCAGTGTAAACCAGTATTCATGCTATATTGAATGTTACATTCTAAAGTATTAAATAGAGGTTTGATAAATCTATAGGTAATTGCCCAGAAATAATCACTGGAATGACCAAAAAGACCCTCATAGATGTGTAAGTTGCAATAAATAAAAGCACTCAAGCAAGGTACGAGTACTTTAAAATTCTACGATTAATTGAGTAAATGTTTCGCCACTGGTTACCCTTGGATTTGGCGTCCTCGGCCTGCAGCTCCACGCCTTTGTTGGTTCTCCAGCAGAGGAATTTGTTTGGTTTTCCTGTTTTCCTCTTGATGAGGTGAAGCAGCAGCATCTGACAGAGGACCACAGTTATCACGAAGACCACCCAGAGGAACAGCCACAGCATGTAGGGCACGGCTGTGGAACACAAAGAAAGAAACCCAACTCGTAACACAACACAATGGGCATGTACGAGAATTTGAGCTCTGCAATGATGAGAACAATCATGAACCTACAGATGGTCACGCCAAAGAGGCTCAAATATACACTTACCTCATCTCAACAAATTATACAATGTACATCAGTAAAGATTTTCACTTTGAATAACCTGTACATAAAGATCGGATGTGCAATTTAGGTGTTCCCTTGAGAAGTGTATCAAAATAAAACCACAACCATTGTGCAAGTGTCACTTTCGTTTAAGAATAGTATATATATTTAAAACTGACGTTCAGGTTCCACCGGTTTCTCAACAGGACTCAACGTTCTGTTCCGAGGTGTGGTTGGAGGTGTTGGTGGCACAGTTGTATGATTACTTGTAGTCTGTGTGATTGTAGATGGAGTCGTAGATGGACTTTTTGCACATTCCATCTTGCATTCTGGGTCAGACAGACACGCCTCCCTGAAGTAAGGAGACACACAACTATTAATCCCTAAATTTAAAAGGAAACGTTCACAATTTTTAAACATGTCCTTTCTAATACGATGTTAAATTTGTGTGTAAAAATATAGTGCAATGGTGTTTGTTGTAATAAGATGTGTCAGTCGTCTGAGTTTAGGTTACCATCTCTATAAATCCCTACTTTGTGTTTGCATGGAAAGTGTTTCACTGTAGGACACCACTTTGGACTTTATAAAATGCACCTTTGGAAAATAATAATTTGAATTGTCTAACTTGAAGGACCTCAGCCCCATGTTGGCAAATTAGAAGTTGTTCTTTTAATAGCCAGTATGAACTGAAGGAGGGATTAGATCACAGAAAAACTTTCTATGTTTTCATATGGACATCTTGAACCTGTCCTTTAATGTCTTTTGAGATTTACACAATCCACACTTTTCAGCACAGTTCAGAAAACATGCTGAACTGCAAGGAGCCAAAAACACCACTCTGAAAAAAAAGAAAATCTAAATGACAGATGAAAATTGTTTTTGTCATCTGTCACTTTGTAAGATCTCCCACCTTTGGCAGGGCTTGCACTTCTTCATGTAGTCAGGATTTTTATGAGGTTCTGAATAAGAACATGAGAGTGATTATGAGAACACATGGCTTCCTTTGTGACAGAGTTTATATCGTATTCAAATGTCTCAGTATATTAACAAATATTACGTCTCCAACTACCCATCTAACACTTTCTCTCCATTTTTGACTGCACTTACCTTTACAAAATTTACATCCGCACGAGCTGCAGGATCTATCTGAGTTTTTGCCATCGTTGAAAAATCCGTCTTTACATTCACACTCCACATTACTGGTTGAGTTGCAGGGCTTTATTTCTACCTCATTATCTGAGGAAGTAAAATTATGAAAACACAGTGTTTCTCAATCCACAGCGTTAACACACAGTCCTGAAAAGCAGCATTTCCTTCCGTAAAAATAAGCTTTCCTATTTTTCATCCATTTTCTCACTGCTTCAAACATCGCAAGGCAGATTTTACAACTGCAAATCTACAATCTTAATTGCGATTTGAGTTATTATAATTTTCCAAACCTCATGAGAATAACAACAAAGTTAACCGTGTCTCATCATATTTTCATCTAAATAACTATATATGTTAAAAAAAATCAAAAATATGTTGAAGTTATGAGAGTGCACAATATCTCACAATATACTCAACGTGTGTTTCTATCACTCCACCCGATTGATATACTTACGTGAACATATGCTACACCTGATGCATGAAGTACGAGTGTTTTCAATCTCTGTGTATTCCTTATCTTTACATTTTTGACATGTGTGATAATCAGCTGGAGCTTTGCAGTTACCGGTTTTATGATACCCTGGTATAGACAAGCAGAAAAGGAATATGTTAATCATGATCATTTTACTATAAATGTACAACACAAAATCATGGCATACAGCACCTCCTCGTAGCTTACCAGCTGGGCAGTTTGAGTAACATCTGGAACTGTTGTGATCCTCACTCTGTCCACCGGAAAGGACAAGTATCAGAAGAAAAACCTGAAACACACAGGAAAAGAGGTCTGAGGGTCTGAGGGACACTGTGGAAAGGTCACTTTGACACTAAAGCTGCTTTACAAAAGGACTAAATAAAAGTCTAAATATGGCATTTTCTATTTTAATAGAACTTAGATGTCTAGTGGGTCTCCTGGTTTTTAACGAAGTATATTTGTATTAATTTCCAAGGTTATACTTAACACCTGCCTAAATCCACACCATATATGAACACTACTATCAGAGTAAGAAAACAGACAGAAAAGAGAGGAAACAAGGCAACTTCACATTATCAGAGAGTGACTGCACTTTGGATAGCAGGGATCACCAGACCAGCATCCAGATCACACTCACCTCTTGAGTCATTTTTTACTTTGGCCGATTTACTGCTGCTCAGATGGAGCCTGTGAAGTACACTATAACTGTACAAGTCTGAAGCATACTGATGAGGACTGAAGCAGAACAACTACCAAGCCCCCTCTGATATTTGAGCGAGATCGAAGGGGAAACGTTCAGCTGCCAGGACAGTCCTGTTTATTAAACATGCAGTCTTGTACCAGCTGATCTGTGGAACCTTAAGGTATAGATATATATAAAAGGAGTATTTGAGGATTCTTCTTGCCCCTACTCGTGGACCCAGAGATCCAGCTTAAGGACAATAATCTGCCATCCAAAAATAATAATAATAACACATATACATCAGTAGAAGCATCTTTCCTCTTGCCTTTTAAATTATATATTTTTTATTTTCATTACCAGACACAACACCAGTGGACTGCACATACAGTGTATATCTACCAAACAGTACTAAACACAGGTGATTGTAGATTTATCCATCACATTCTTTACTCTATACTTCCACTGACCTCCTCTAGCAAATATTGCGAAGTAGGTTACTGTGTCACATTCTTGGTGTCAGCGCTAATGTGACAGCTGTTCCTCTGATGAAATGATCATAATCTAAAATCAACTTAGAGAAAGGTAATGAAAGACAAAGCTCACCAAGACAATGTCCATGTCCAAAGAGTGTAAACTGCGGGGAGGTCAAACAACCAACATTAGATGAGTGTTCGTTTCACTCACAAGGAAAAACAAAACAAGTCAAGAGTCTCAGAGTACAGTTATCACCAGGAGAGGATGTGACAAAATCAACATCCACCCACAGACAGCATTCTGACATTCAGAATTTCCTACGAATCAAGTGTGGCGTTTTTTCAAGAGTAGGTTCTTTGTTGACTTCAGAGAAATGGTGCCACAAACAGGAAATACACACACACGCACATATATGGACTATTTTTTTTGTCCCCATAAAGGAAATTGTATTTTATACTCTTTTTTCTTACTGTTACCAATCACTGTCTTTTCAATATTGGTTTATGTATCACTTTGATCATGACATGCCTGTACTGTTTGAAATATATTTGTAGTTAAATAAAAAAACAAATATACATGTCTAAATAATAAAATCAGAATACGCCATATCAGGGTTTTTTTATTTATTGATGATACTGAATGGCATTTATTGTAATTAAGTTTGTATTATGTACCTTTGGTTAAATGGAGGTAAACCTGCAAAAGATACAAGAATTCCCAATGGTTTAGACATGACTTTTGGTTCGTCCCTTATAGATGCTTGTTTTCCTTCTGTGCTTTGACCTCCACATTTCAAACTTTCACATATAGAGCATAATAATGACAATAAGAAAAATATAATTTGCAAATTACAGCAGCATGTAACAGACATGAAAGAGTTATGCCCTTACAGCAAATAAGAGCAGGCTCAGCAACCTGACCATGATCTTCTGGTGGTTGGTGGGTTTCTTTTTACACGTAGTTAATTTAAAGTGTGTAGGATTCAGTGATATATAGTAGTGAAGTTTCATGTTGAAGCTGAATACACTTCACCTCACCCTCCCCTTCCAAATATTAAAAAGATCCTTTGGTAGCCTTACGTTTAACTGCCTATTTATAAATCTCTGAGTGGAGCCGCTTTTAATACATACAACAGACATGATAGTGCATAAAATAACCCTGTGAGACCACTGAGATCACTGAGGAGTGGTCTGCCAGTGGTACCCGGGGCAAAGCCCAAACATGGAGAAGCAGCTTTTAGAACTGCCCTGGAACCAACTGAACTGCCTGATGATGATTATAGGAATGAACCATCCATTGCTGTTTTTATGACTATTGGTTGAAAACTTTTGTGCCTTTAATTAAACTATTACACAAGGCCAGACCATCATTGTGTTATTATTCATTATTTTTTACGAAGTTCTCTCTATTTTACTTGTATTACTTTTTTCTTTTAACTTATTTTTTGAATACTTGTACAGGTTTAGTGTATAATTTAGTGACATCTAGTGATGAAGTTGCATGTTGCAGCTGAACACCCCTCATCTCACCCTAACCCTTCCAAACATGAAAGAGAACCTGTGCTAGTCTTCAGTTGTCAAAAAAAAACATACAAGTGTTTAGTTTTGTCCAGTTTGGACGACTGTAAAAAAAACATGGCGGCCTCCATAGATAGGACCCGCTCCATGTAAATATAAAGTATTTAAATATACTGTAAAGGGCCCCCTCTGGAGTAAAGAAAACAAAAAGATGTACAATTTAGATGATACACACCAGTGAAAACATAATTAGGATTATGTTATATCCAGTTATTGCCAATAGATCCCTTTCACCTAAATCTTACACACTGGACCTTTAAAGACTCTCAATAGAATGTAATGATGCAATTATGTACATGTCTTTTCTTTAAAAAATATATGTTTTATTAGAAATAGAATTTGCAAGATCAAATAATATTGTTTATATATTTTACATTATTTATCCATACATATATATATATATATATCCATCCTTTTTGTTTAGCTTACCTATCTTTTCATCTTTTTACAAATGTATTCTACTCTTATTTTGCTGGAAATTCTTTTAAAATTGTATTTTTTTTTTTTACATCATACCTCTGGGTATGAAAGGAGCTTTATAAATGAAGCTGCCAAGCCTTATTCACTGTAGTGATGCTAAGAGGGCAGTGGTGGGCTTCATGTCTTTGTAATGCTGGTATTTTGGAGTATTGTGGTTTTTGCTATTTCTGGCTCTGGAGTCGGATGTGCAGACTGACATCCACCCACCACGCGGCGGAAAGAAACGTTGTTAAATTCATCAGGAAGGCACGGGGCTCCATTAGAGGTGAATAAAGTAGGTCATCGTGCAAAAGAAGCGAAAAAATCCAAAGCGACATTAGCAGAATATTTCCGTGTGTATTGTGTATGTGTGTGTGTGTGTCTGTGTGTGTGTGCGTCTGTGTGTGTGTGTGCATCGAGCCTGGAAACACAGCAGCACCCAGAAGTGAACAAAGCGACCCGGAAGCGGTGGTGGGACTGGAGGCAGGCAGAGAGAGAACATCAAGCTTTTATATTAAAGCTGCGCTCGCAACACAATATCTGCAGCCAGGACCCAAGGTATTTGTGCATGTTCCTCTCGCCTCTTCGCCGCCGTGCATTTCTCACATTAGCCGAACGCTGCCGGATGCGTGCGATCGTGCACAAAAAAACGCAGCCGCTGTCCTTTGATTCGCTCAAAAGTTGCAGGATGTGAAAAAAAAGCAGAGCCCTAAAAGTGAGATTCGGAGAAGATGGCACAGCGTCTGTGCGCCGAGGCGAGGCGGCGTGCGCCGTTTTCACCTCCGCGCATCGATACGGTTGTTTTTTGATGAAATCGATGTCTGCATCTTGCCCGCTCCGAGCTCTGCTCTGTGCAGGGCATGGTTGTTGGAGGAAGTGTCAGTTTTTTTAGGAGCTGGGGAGGCCGGGCTATTCAAACCTGCATTTCGCCGTAAACAATCCTTCATGCCTTTGACGCGATAAACACACCTTTTGTGTCCGCCTCGGTCGCCTCTCCTCCCCGCCAGCCTCCCCGCCAACACTCGCTCCTAAAAATATTTAGTGAGGGGGGTCTGCAGAATATGGCGTCCCGCCTTATAAAAATAAGGCTGCCATTTTTGTTTCTCTTTTGTCTGGAAATGTTTTAAGCAAACTGTCTGAGAATGTCTGAGACGCACCGGGGGGAGGCTCCGTCCGCGCAGTCCTCCATCAGTCCTCGTCCAGAGGTGCAGCCGGACACAGACATGTCCGACCAGTCCAGGATGGAAACTTTCTGCTTTTTTCTGCCTTTGCATTTATCTGCACATTTAAAGCGATGTGCACTTATTCCCACAAATTCACCCCCAGACAAAAGGATCCCAGAGACTGAATGTGCAAACTGAAGAGCTGCAGCTCCGCCACGCTACTCTTGAGTTTAACACTCAAAATGTTTCTACAACAATAATTTAGTTTGAGCTGTGTTGATTCAAAGCTCAGTTTACACTGAGGGCCTCATTTACATACTGGATTAGTATTTTTACACTATTGAAAATGTGCCCTGACATTTCTATCTAATGACAAACTATTAGTAGATTTAAATTATTTTATAGATATTTATTAGTTTAATCTGTTTTAATTTACGGTTTACACCAGACTCTACTGAAAATAAGCTCTGACATTTGTATCTAATGAGAAACTATGAGTTTTAAATTAATTGAGCCATGGGCCCCCTCCAAACAAAAAAAACAAGTGAGTGACACTTGACACAGTTATTTGTCATGAAACTTACACTTTTACTAATCTCCTAATACCTGCCTAAGAGTTACAACATTGTCTTAAATAAGAATTTGTCTTCATTCAAATGTATTGTCAAAAGCCAAGTCATAAAAATAGCCTTGGTATTTGTCCAAAAGGAAATTGAGAAGTGACAAATGTGTAATTATGGGAGTCCTTTTGAAATCATTAGTAACTTTTATGGAGCTGCCAGTTTCAAAGTATCAATGTGCAATTGATCCTGCAGACATAAAGCATTCTTTAGCAAAGCTTCCTCACATCAGGAAAGTTGAGCAATTCGAGGGTCACATAAATTATCCTTAAATTCTTTAAATTGTCCTTGATGCTTTGAAATAGCATGAATAACATGTGGAGGTGCCTGCACAGCCGGATCATGGTGACTGGGATAACTAATGAAATGTAGACTGTATGCCACACTGGAGCTATAGAGAAGGAAACATGAACCCTTGTGGTTGTGACGACATGTTATTCATATTTACAGCTACACTCCGTCACTTCACACTGTCTTCATTTAAAAATGTCGCCGTGAGAAAGTGTTTTGCATTACAAACCCATCTCTGACCCAGACTGACATATTTGTACTGACACAACACGCCATTAAATATAACTTACATTTTACTTTTGAATGAGTCTAAAGTCAATGTTGTATTTTGCAGGATGGCAGAGCCTCGATTTAACAACCCGTATTTCTGGCCGCCACCTCCATCCATGCCGGGCCAGGTAAGTCCACATGTAACATGTAGTTAATTGTGACATTTTCACCTTCATTGCTATGTTTTTCCATGTGTGAATGTCTTTTCAGCACCAGTGTGTCACAGAAACTGACAGAGAATCAGCCACAGTTCTTTCCTGAAGATTAAAAAGAAAAAATGAAATGACTTGTACTGTGTGCTGTTCAGCATTTTCTGTCCTGGGATGTGGGTTTTTCCTTTGTGAGGGGCATGAATGACATTCACACACGGTGGCTGTTGTCTGTTGAGCATGACGTTAACCCTTTCAGCTGGATAACCTGGTGCTCATTAACAAGATCAAGGAGCAGCTGATGGCCGAGAAGATCCGACCCTTGCACCTGCCGCCTACCTCCACCCCTTCCCAGCAGCCCCTGCTGGTGTCCACCTCGAACCAAGACGGTAGCAACCAGCACGGAATGTCAGTGCCAAAGCACCAGCAGCAGGAGCTGCAGGGCCACCACCCGCAGGCACAGGGCTCTGGACAGCCAGACATCGCTCTGCATGCTCGCCCCGCCTCCAGCTCTGGACCAGGTAGGCCCTGGATTCTGAACCCCAGTACATTTCGAATACAGACCCAAATGTGTCACTAGCATGAAGTATGAGAATCTGTCAAGTATCAAAAGTTGACACCATGTGCAGATTTTTGTTTTTTCTATTCTTTGATCAGAAATCCTTTGTTGTAAACGTGGAAACTGCTAATTTTATCTAGTCTTTTATCTAGAGAAGCCACTGTATGGCTGTCCTTGTCAACACACATTTAACACTAATGCACTGAGTTGTTCAGCATCGTTTATTCAAGGAAAAAAACACTTCACATTCGAGGCAGTACCAGCATGATGCAGTAAAAGATCTGTCTACTTCGAAACACAAATTACTGATCACCCATTAAAATGCCATCACCTGACAACTTCCAGATGGAACAATGGACGACAAGTCAGCAGTGAAGGCTAAAGGATTGTGGGAAGACTGGCACATGAGACAGCTTGGCGAGCAAACTGGACGCATCAACCATCGCTCAGGTCAGTCAGTCTCTGCCCTCTGTTGACAGCAGTAGTAATGCTCAAACGTGTGGGATGTTGTCACTGTAGACTGGGATCCGCTGACACTTAAATACAGGATTAAGGCGATAAACTGAGAGACTACGTATCGTGCTGGATTAATAGTTATTGTTCAAACAACACTTATAATACGGACGGAAACAGTTTCTGATTTTCAGGCTGGTATGACAGAAGATTAGGGCCATTTGAAGGGAGGAAAAAATCTAAGAATTTAATTTCAGAATTAAGTCAATTTTAGATCACGTTTCATTTTGTAGGATGAATATCAGAAGATTAGCTTCAGTTAAAATGAGGAACGTGAGCATCTTGTTAAGTTGTACTTGTGTTTATGTTCCACAACTAATGAAAGTACTTAATCAGCACTTTGAATCAGGACTTTGAGGAGGAGGAAATGTTTGATAGTGGTTAACTGAGGTTATTGTTTGTCACATCTGCGTCATATTCAAAGAAGTCTCATAGTTTCTCAGAAACAATCATTTGGATCCAGAAGAGGAACTTGCAGCTTTTTTCCTAAAAGGGGTTTTTTCTTTACTCTCCTAAAAAAAGAGTTTTCATTACAGTACAACTTTATTCTTGTAATATTACAACCTTATTCTCAAAATTTCCCCTTTTTTCCAATATTACCCAAATGCTCCATTGTAGGCTGGAGACAATGGTTAACAGAAATGTGTTATTAAGATTCATATTAAAGATTCTAGACTTGCTCCAGGAATGAACATGAAGCTCACTGTACACTCTGACGTCTGGGAAATGGATAAGACTTGTGGTGAACAACCATATTAATGGTTTTACACTTAGTTAGTATGTTTACTACAAACTTTGTATTCGTTAGCCATTTTCCGTATATTATAAAAATCAGTTGACAGGCTGTTAAAAGTTACTACGCCATATGTAACAATGGCAAAAATAGTACAGATCTGATATTTAATGTGACAGATTTAATAACTCAAGGTTCAGTGTGTAAGATTTAGGTGAAAGGGATCTATTGGCTGAAATTGAATATAAAATAATCCTTGTGATGTTTTCATTAGTGTCATCTAAATTGTATGAATTGTTGTTTTCTTTACCCAAGAATGGGCCTTTTATATTTAGATACTTTACATTTAAATCAAGGGGGTACAGTAACAAAAGTCAAGCATTGAAAAAAATAAAAATCTGGAACATGCAAAACAAAACAAATGTGGTTCCCACCTCCACAGCGCTGGCTCCCTCATCCCGACCTGACAGCCACATCATCTCCGAGGCCCTGACCCCCACGACTCCAACCTCCAGCAGCCACAACCGCCTCGGCGGTGCCCCCTCTGTGAACATCATCTCTGGGCTGGCCAGTGGTCCGGGCATGGACCACATGAAGGTTGGAGGCCTGGCAGGACTGTTGGGCCCCCCACCCAAGGCACCCCGGGGACGGAAGAAGATTAAAGCTGAAAACCCATCGGGTCCTCTGCTGGTGGTGCCCTACCCCATTCTAGCTGACCAAGGCTGTGTCACAATTGCACCCAAAGAGGGCAAAACCTACAGGTGGGACACAGAGCCGCTACGATTCTTTCAGATTTCACTGCAACACAGAGGAAAGGACGTTTACTGAGGTCTGCAAAGGATCAATATTATTTTATTATTGCAGCTATTTATTATTATATTATTATATTTTGTATTTTATAAGTTTGGTGTTAAGTAGATTTAATATCATTTAGTTGTGCACATCATCCCTGAGACATCATTTGCTTTTCAGTAGTTTTCAAAAGCAGTGGGTCACATCATTATCTAAATCATCAAACATCCGGCTGCTAAACTTAATCGATTCTTAATTTTTTGCTTTCCAGAGTAAAACCTAATGGCAAAAACTGAGCTTGCAAGAACTGAACTTAATTTGTGAGATAGTCAGAGGTTACATAGACCAGGTAATAATATCTGTCCTGAGTGATCCGATCACAAGCGCTGATCACTCAAACCAAATCAGGAGATTCATTCAGGATGAATTTTAATGATCAGACGAACTTGGAGCTGACCACTTGTGATCGGATCTCACAGGATGGATGTTAATACCAGAATCAGAGCTACAGAAAATACCTCCAGACCTGACTAGATACAAAACTGTTCCTTACTATAGTAGAATGAAACTTCACTTTGAGTTTGGTCAGGACTGCTCCCAGTTCTACTAGAGTGAATTATATAATTGATTATGATTAAAGTTTCATAACGTGTCTATTACTTGAAAACATTAATGATTTTACATGGTATGGTTATTTTAAAGTTTTAATTCAGGCAATTACTTCATCAGTTTATTCAAAAACAAATGACAGCAGTCCGGTCTGATCACGTTTATGCTTTTTCCCCCAAAGATGCAAAGTGTGCCCACTCACCTTCCTAACCAAGTCCGAGATGCAGATTCACTCCAAGTCTCACACGGAGGCCAAACCACACAAGTGTCCCCACTGCACCAAGACGTTCGCCAACGCCTCCTACCTGTCGCAGCACCTGCGCATCCACCTGGGGATCAAACCCTATCACTGCTCCTACTGCGAGAACTCCTTCCGTCAGCTGTCACACCTGCAGCAGCACACCAGGTGAACACAGAGGGGGGAGAGTCAGGACTTTAACAGATGACGTTAGGTTGTCACAAATGTACACAGCATTTTAAAGGTCTGTGATTTTGACCATAGACTGTACATAAAGATGGACGACTCATCTCCACTTCCTCCCACCATCAAGAAAAACAGCCCTAATGTGAACTCTGCCATTTTGCACATTTGGAATCAGAATGTGGTATCGAGACACTTTGGCCTCAAGTTTGGGGAGCAGTCACGTCGTCCATCTTTATATACAATCTATGGTTTTGACTAAAATCTGCACTGATAAGTTTCTAAATGTGAAATCTGCTGTGAAAATGCTTTGACCTTGTTTTGACGCACTTCTGTGGTTCAACTGTTATCGCTCCTTATCATAGTGAGTAAAATGTTAAACTAGCGTTGCTCTGACTCTATCTCCTGCTGCAGAATCCACACCGGTGATAGGCCTTATAAATGTGCCCACCCCGGATGTGAAAAGGCTTTTACCCAGCTGTCTAACCTCCAGGTCAGTGTGCGATATCACATCTTACTTTAGCTATTATGAGTTAATGAGATCAAATTTAAATTACTGCTCTCACACCCTTCGTCTGTGTTTTTCTCCCGACAGTCTCACCAGAGGCAGCACAATAAAGACAAGCCGTACAAATGTCCTAACTGCTACCGTGCCTACTCAGACTCAGCTTCATTGCAGATCCACTTGTCAGCGCACGCCATCAAAAACGCTAAGGCCTACTGCTGTAGCATGTGTGGCCGGGCATACACCTCAGTGAGTACACCGTGACTTATCTGTCAGTCATCTCCATGGCCTTCGATGACACTATGTTCTGAAAGCAGTTTCCTGTTGTGATATTTAAACATGCAGCATGTTCTCACTTCTGTTGAAAGAGAAAAGCAAGAGTTTTTTAATATAACCAAGAGGATCCACTTCTCATTTTGACATTTAATAAGTGCCAGTTACTTCAATACTTTAAACAGTAAACAAGGGTGGGTAAAGGATCATGTTTAAACTCTTTTTTTCCATTTTCCTTATGAATCAAACATCACTGAATATATCTTTCAGGGTCTCAGCAGGTTTAAACAATTACAAAACCATAATAAGTGAAATTCAAGACCTATGTCAAGTAGTTGTGAAGGAATATCAGAGTTCCAGAATTACTTACACTTCCCCTTAATATAAGACAAAGTGAAGTAGCCGCGTGACTTCACACTACAAGCAGAGACAGCGATCGTCTTTACCCTAATGAGATCAATGTTTGTAGGTTGGTCTTGTTTGTAGTTTCATTACAACGAGCTAAGATCTGTATCTGTGAGAAAGAACTCAAACACACGGACACTATGAACTATACATGCTGCAGACATTTTAAGGCCTGCAATTCTGATT